TGTGACGTGGACTTGTCAGAACGTGTACGAGAGGTTGTCCGGCCCGTTTCGTTTGAGACATCCTTCCACTACTGAGCTCCAGGATGTCACTCGCGAGGTGGTCCAGCCCGTTTCGCTTGAGCCATCCTCACACTGCGAAGCTTGAAGATGTTGCGCGCGAGATGGTCTGGCCCGTTCTGCCTGAGACGTTTCGTAGCACAGGGGCTCCAATCACAACCTCTCTGTCCTTCTCCCGCCTCCCTCTTTCCGCTTCCCGCCTGGCTCCTCTTCCCTCCTCCCTCCTCCTGCCTCCCGCCTCCCGCTGCTGCGCCTCTGGACGCACTGGACGGGCACGCAATCGACCTTGGAAACCGCAGTGTGTTTAAAAACCCTGTTTGGGGATACTGCACTCCGGCTATAAGGTTGGGGTATTTTGGGGGGTATGTATAATTGTTCGCCGAAAATCCGCCTGCAGGGGAACACTCCCGACTTAACTCTATCCGCGGGTGCATGTCATAGCCGACCTGGAGTTCCCCAAGACGACCGCATCGTATCCTGCGCAATCGGGAAAAAAGGAGAGCTGCGCAAGCAGGAGGGGGAGGCAGGAGGAGGGGGAGGATGTGGCGGGCTGGCAGGAGGATGAGCACGAGGAAAAAGAGGACGAGGTAGGGGGGAGACGAGGACAAACATCATCAGGCGATCGCAAACATGGATTAAGGGGGCGTGGATTAGAGACGGTTCCCGTTTCCATGGGAAATCGCGGATTCCCGCCGCCGAGCGAGGCGGCACCGGCCGCATTTTGGGGAGGGTACTTCCCTCGATACATGGATTTTGCGACCGCGCGACAAATCCATGGATCGCTAATCCATGTTTGTGCGCCCTTGAAAAAGAGAACGAGGAAGCGGGAGGACGAGGACAAACATGAGCAGCAGGACCTGGGATGGAAGGAGCGGGACAAGCAGGAGGACCACGGGAAGGCGAACGAGCTGAGCAGGAGGAAAAAAAGGGAGGATGAAGAAGGAGGAGGACGAGGACGAACAGCAGCGGCGGGAACTGGCGTGGAAGCAGCTGACGGAGCAGGAGGACCAGGGGAAAGCGGAGGAGGGGAAAGGAGGGGGGCGACAACGATGAGGAAGGACTCTTATCCAGAAAAGTGGCCCACGCGTGGGCGAGAGCACCAGTCTGAACGACGGGGGCACAGCGCCGATCCGAAACTGAGGCCCACGCTGCAGCGGGAACACCAACGTTGAAACACCGCAAACAAATCACATTGCAAAACGAATAGGACGCGGAGAGGGCGGAGCATCCTGCCGACAGAGCCAGGGGAGAGAGGAGAGCAGCATTCATATTGTGTAGTTCTAGTGGAGGAGGAGGACGAGGAGGAGGAGACGGTGCTGGCCTGCTTTGTGCCGCCGCCGCCGACGACGACCTCCGCTGCGCCAGATCACGCTGGTCCCGCCGTCCCTCCCCGCCCTTGCCTCCCCCTCCCATGAGCCCTCCTGAGATCCGACATCACAAAAAAGGCAACATCGGAGAAAATCACGGCCGGAGCCCTTGACCCATCTTGTTGCGTCCTGTTTCGAGCCAGATCCATCTGTGAGGGTCCCGGGGTCCGAGATGGGGCGAAAGCGCCCGCTCGGAAAATTTAGCAACGCCAGGAACTCAGGGCCTTCCCCTCCCTGGACGCACAGCGACGGCCAGGGCCGGGTCAGGCCTGGGCATCCTGGGGTCGCCTTCCGCCCCGGCAGTCATGGTGACGAGGCTGTGCCCGCGGACCCACATGGGGCCCCCAAACGGGGTGGTGACCACACCGCGTGGTGAGTCGGTGGGGATTCGGGGTCACCGCACGGTTTTGGGGCTCAGGTCGTTCACCGAGGATGTCTCGGGCGACAGGGGCCTCTAGGGTCCCAAAACCGTGCGGTGACCAACCATGCGGTGAGGTCTTGGAGGATTTCGAGGTCACTGCCCAGTGTCACCGCACCGTTTCGGGACTCCAAACTTCCGCCCCGGCAGTCATGCTGACGAGGCCGTACCCGCGGACCCACAGAGGTCGATCCGCCAGGGTCCCACCGACCTCCGCTAGGCCTCGGGGGCCTTGGCATCGCTCGGGCGTGTGCCTCTGTCCTCGGCGAGGACCGTCGAAGCCTGGATCACCTTGCGGAAAATACGCGCGGAGGACGCGAAAGAGGAGGAGGAAGAGGAAAGGAGGAGGAGAAGGAGGAGGAGGAGGAGGAGGTGGAGGAGGAGGAGGGGTGGTGGTTGAGGAGGAGGAGGAGGAGGAGGAGGAGGAGGAGGAGGAGGAGGAGGAGGAGGAGGAACAAGGGGAATGGACGCCGGAGCGATGGCAAGGAGCGCCCGGCCTGCCCGCGCCCTTCGCCGCTTCTCTCTTGAGGCGCAAGCCTTCTCCGACCTCCAGGCGTGCCTGCGGGGCGCGGAGGGTACCCTCGAGGCCGCCGCCGGCTCCAGGGGAGGAGGAGGAGGACGAGGCGGAGGAGGAGGAGGAGGAGGAGGAGGAGGAGGA